GAAATGTTATTTAACCACCAACAGGAATGGAACACTTAATCTCTTTTGAATACAGTAGTGTAGATGCACTTACTGCTTAAAGATGTGGTTGATTGCACCCAACCTTGCTAATCTTTCATCTGTGCACTCCTTCTATTGATCCCGTATTTTCAGAATGGAATCTGGTAATGGTTGTGGTCAGCAAGTAATACCATAAATCTGTGTGTTTCTTTGCACGTGTATGCCAGTGTTGTTAGGGTTGATGGGTTTAACGCATGGTGCGAACCAACTGAAGATATTAGCAGTAAAATTCAGCTAGCCTTTCTTCCTTTGTCCCTCATCTGGCTTCTGAGCTTAAGCATGTGAAAGTGAGGTCTGTACGCTGTATGAAGGAGAACAGACGGATGTATACATAAATTTATCCATATTACAGATCTGGATACTTTTCTTTTTCTCATGTGTATTTATACACTTAACCTGTCCTTGTTGGAAGCGTGGCAGAAAGAAAAGTGTAGATAATGAAGGAATTGGGGTGTAGAGGAAGAAAAATGTCTGCTTGAGTCTGTACTCTTGGATCTGTGGCTTGGCAGCACGCATACAAAAATACTGCTTTCTAGACTAGTTAAATCTATCCTGTTTGGATATTTGTATTCGGTAACAGACTCAACTGTGCTTGTTGATCTGCATGTCTGTCGTAAGAGCTGATCCCTGTTTTTACTCTAATCCAAAACTCAAGTTGGGAGAAAAAAAAATGTGCTAGAACATGGGGAAACTGTACAACTAGGTTGTAAAATATAGTGGTAGAGTTGGAAAAATATACCCTAAATGCAGAGGCCAATGTTATGCATCAGTGTTGCAAGGGGGAGGGGAAGAGAGGAGGCTGCCAAAGCACTTCCCCTAGTCGGAATGCTGTTCCAGCCCCACCACGTGCGCAGGAGGGGGTGAAATCTTGGCTCCAGCACGCGGGGAACTTTGCCAGTGACTGAAGAGGAGCCAGGACTGTACCTTGCTTGGGGTGATGGGCTCATACGTACCTACAGAACTTGTCTGTCAAAGTCCAGCTCATTTAGACAACAGTTCACTTAATAGCCACTTGATTTCCTGACTTGTGTACATATTTATAGAAGTAGGTCATATAAATGTATCTTCATATGAAAGCTTCTTCCAGTGACGTTTCTGAAACAGGTGCTGTTTCTTAAACTAAGAGTTTAAGTACTTGAAGTTGGTTGTGTGATGAGAATCCCTGGTATCCCGCATTATTCTAAGCCACGTCTAGTTTCTTGGCTACTCAAGTTTCATTGGTACACCTTGAGGTTTCAGTCAAAAACTTGATAACTTGTAGCTGAACATGCGTCTTGATAGCCAGAGCCCTTAAGAACTGCTGTTGTTCATAAACAAATAATGGTGACAAAACTACATCTGCTGTTTCTTGATCCTTCCTCCAGTATGAATGTTTCTATAAGATACTGGCCTGAAATGCTTGAACTTGAAAGCATTTTACAAGACAACTGTTACTGCTTAGTGAATGTTTGATTCACACCACTTTTATGTGAAGACTTGCAGTCTGATTTGGGTTGGGAGGCTTTCCTATGAACGTTCTCAACAGGTAGCACCTACACATCTCTTTTTGAAAAGAACCTGGAAATTTCACTGCATCTGTAGTGTCCAGCTAAAGCTAGATGTGATTAGGTAAGATATATAGCCTTTGTTTCTTCGTAAGTGTGCAGCGCAGCCTGTCATCAATGAAATATCCTATGGTTCTTGGCACTTACGTATCTGAAATGTTGAATCAAGATACGGTGACCTTTGTAGTTCAAATGGGAATATTTTAGTCCTGTAACTAGTGATCTGAGGTTTGTGTTCTGTTCGAGGTTGGCCACTGGAATTTAGGAGTGCTTAAAGCTTTTTCTACCCACTCTTTCACAAAAGGTGTGCTGGGATACAACTGAGCTGACCTAACAGCCAGCAGCTTCTGGAAGGGACAGTCCCATTCCTCAGCTGTGCGTTCCTGCATCTTAGATTTGTCCACATATATAGTATGGATTTCATAAATTGTCTTGAAAGGTTTAAATTTGGAAAGTAACTCCTGAGGGAAAGGTAGTAGAAAACAGTGTCCTTTCCCTCCCCTTCCCTCTTTGAGAGTACTACTTAACTTCCTTTAAGATTTAGGGAAATAGTTTTGGATAGGGGATTATCTAATGATTGGGTTTGATTAGCCATTAGATGACTGAAATTTTCAACAGAATGTAATTAAAACAGGTAGTTTTTGTACGGTCATGTCTAGCTGTTCTATCCTACGAGAGCTTCAGTTGTGTCTACTGCTGTTCAGTGTATGTTTTCTTTTGGTGCTAATGGAAGTGACTGGAGATGTGCAGTAACATGGGATGTTCTCTGAAATGCTGTTGCAGCTACAGACTTGTAGCCAGCTGGTGTCTGTGAACAAGCTCTAACCTGAGGTTTTTAGTCTGTTGTGCCCAATAAAAATGCTTTAGTACTTGTGAATAGAACTGCAATGAGATCTAGCTGCAAATTTGTAGTACTTAGATTTGTATTCCAGTCTTGAAGATGGTATTGTATAGGATGCTCAGTTACGCTGGTGAGAGACTTGTCTCTCCTCAGATGTGGTAAACTGTTAGTTTAAAATACTAATCTCACTTTAACTTGCCTTGTCTTGTGGAGGGGAGACCCCAAATGGAAGCTGAATGCTTCCAAGTTTGGCAAAGAAAAATAGCGAAGGCAGCAGTGGTTTATGTTAGGTTGCAGTAACTCTTCCTCTTGAGGCTGGAATGCGGGTGAGTTGCGGGTACCATGGGTAGTACTGCTGTACCACAGCATGAGACTTTATAAAGTATGATCAGTCAGCAGAGTATGCCGGACATGCTAGAATTTCTGCTATTCTCAGAGTATATATGCCCTATCCAGAGTGGATTAACTACTAATGAATAAGAAGAATGAAAAGCAGTGAGTTAACTTACCTTATTTTTAGCTTTCTGCAATCCTGTGGAAACGTGGCATGAGGAAAAAGCACCCTTTAATTGGGCTTGCTGCAAGTTACATGAGGTGTTTTGCCTTTTTCCCCACTCAAAGCTTTCCTTTGCAGAACAGGATGTGTAGATTTTGCATTCCACAAGATAAAATGGATACACTGGGTGACCTCACTGCTGATGGAGTGGAGGGGAGAAACTGAAGAGCTCTCCAGATAGAAAAGTATGGGCATGTCTTTTATAGCCTAATTCTAGCTTTTGTCATCTAGTGTTAAACTGACTATTCTGGCAATGGCTTCTGAACAGTAGGTACTTGTAAAGGAGAGGATGGTTGTTGAAGTCGTGTGTGTGATTGGGTAGCAGACTGCTTAGCAGGTACAGGAAGCTCATATGTTTTGCCAAAGTTAATGGGCTTGCCCTTGCTTGCAGGGAGCTAGCTGCCTCTGAAGTTCTTGGAAGGGGAAGCACTAAATTTCTTGAGGAAACTCTTGCAGCATTGCTTCAGGGGTTGTATGGATGCCATTAGCATCATTGTGGTTCCTCATTGCTTACTGATGCTGTTATTTAAGTAGCTTTGTTTCCTCTTTCTCCTCCTGAGGTGGTGCTTGGTAAGTGAATCTGCCTATCCTCTAGGGTCTTGTCCAGTTTGGCACGAAAAATCTAAGTTAGCATACCTCAGCTTAGTTTGCCTGTCCTACTGCAAATGTTATGTTAGATGTTGACTTAACTGTTTTGGAGGAAAAGGTAGGTTAAACTTGATATCTTTAAGAAAAGAATACTAATCACTGCCTCGTGATTGATTCCAGACTCAATTATTTCTGATTGTTTGGCTTCAGAAATTATATTGAGTATTTGTTTCTTCTTGCTGCCAGAAAGTGAGCAGCAGATTAAGGATTGGTTTTGTTCTGAATTAAACAGTCAGTACAATATTTAGAAATGTTTATTCTTTTATCCCCTTTATTAGTACAATATTTCATATTTGGAGATCTCTTCAAACTGTTTTTCCTAAACTCATGGTATAAATTGTGTGATGAGCACTTGCTGATTCTTCTAGGACTGATAAGCTCTTGAATGTGTGGAAATAGTAATGTGGTAATCGGTTCTCTTTTTAAACTACTAAAACTAGCTTTGTGTGCAGAACAGAGCTCTCTCTCTTATTCTCCAGTCCCTTTCTGATTCTGCAAGATGTGCACAGGGCTTTAATCACCATAAAGACTGTTCTCTTGCAATGGTCTGTATAGGGAGGATGACTAGGTGTATGGAACAAGCTGGAATTCTCCTTAGGCTAGGAGGTCTAAAAAGACAGTTAATTTGCTTTTCTCATCTACTAAATTAATGTTTGTGCTGGGTAACAAATGTTGTTTAATTCTGATTGGCATATGTCTCTCTGTGTGTATACATGTTTATGGCTGCTAGAATTTTACATCAAACTACACCATCAGTGGGGTAAAGGATAGTGATGTAGCAAAATATTTGAGAACACAGGCTTTTGTTTTTGTAAGGGAAGTGGTCTATTTGTGGATGAAGATTAAGAGTTAATATCTGATTTTGTTTAGTGACTACCTAGGGAAATGGCAAAATTATAAATATGAATAAAAGGTGAATTGGAAGGATGAAAGCCTTGAAGTGAAATCTGAATTTTAACTAGTATTCTGACCACTTCTTCTAAGTACTTATTAGGTTGCACTTAATCAATATCTTTTGCTTGAGTAACTGATCTGTAAAAGCCTTATGGGCCTCAGCAAAAGTTAAGTGAGAAGTCTTAATTCTGAGTGGAATTTAAAAAGTTGAATTCAGGACTGCCTTTCCATGGGCATGTGATGGTCTAGCACAAGTAATCTTTGCAGTGGGTGATCTTGCACGTTATTGTGGACAACTGCTCAAAGGTGTGAGCCACAAATATAACCAGCCTTTTTTTGTATGCAGGTAGGGAGAAGTCTGGCTTTTGTGACTGATCAGTATCTTGTCATGCAAGAGTTGGAAGCTGACAAGCGAAGTTAAAACATCTGTGTTGGGTAGTTGAGCAGGTTTTCTGCCATCCACCATGCTGTCAAACTTGCATCAGTTTTTCCAGAATGGACTTGGTGCTATGTACTAGCCCTGAAGTAAGGTCATATCAGTGTTTGGTTTAGTTTTCAAGTTGCTTAAAATCTTCCCATCTTTTTTTTTATTCATAACTAGTTCAAAATAGTGGGTGTGACACAAAAAATCATGCTAGCTCTAGGTTTCCTAGTCTAGGTCTTAGATTCCAATAGCCTAGAAAAACAGGAATTGAATTTGCTTCCCAAGCTCCAGTGATAGGTCTGCTTAGCATGCTGCTGTGGTGCTTTGGTACCTTGTAGTCCAGCTGTTTCTTTTTTTCTATGTTGCTAGACTAATAACAATCTCCACACAAAGTTTGACTGTAGAGGGTGTGTGTTTAAACCCTCATTTTCAGTATGATCAATATTTGCTGCATGAAATAAACTCTAGATAGCTTTATGTATTCTTACGGATGTTTGACCTTGTGTTCATTAATTCTTTCTTACTCTTTTTTTGAAAGGCCCTTCCTTCTTCCATGATGATAGTAGCTGTCTACTGCCCGGTGATAGCAGCTCTCTTTATCGTTTTGAAGATGGTGAATTACCGTTTACACAGGGCACTGGATGAGGGAGAAATTGTGGAGAGGAATGCCAGTGAGCATATGGACAGAGGTGCAAAAACAGAACAAAGCAATGTTTCAGCCAAGAGGAAAGACAGCAATGGGCCCAGGTAAGGTGTCTGCTGATGTTTGTGTACTGACGGTTTCAGATGATAAACAGTCCTGTCTTTACCAGATGTGTGACTGGAATGGTGGTTGAAGTAAACACTGAGGAATATAAATGCAGACCTCCATAGTTCTGAAAGGCTGTTTCAGTCTGGTCTTTAAAAGCAGACTTATTTATGTATTAGGTTTGAAATTGGATTCATGTTAATTTCCCGGTTCCTCCCCCAAAGGAGTTCCAGAACAATATTGAAAATGCTGGAAGCACTGAAACAATAGCATGGAAAATGTGTGCTGATTAGGTCACTAAATACTTAATGAACACAACTAGTACAAGTAATCTTACTTCAGCAGTAGACTTAGTTTCAAAAGTCTAGCTCTCAAAGACCACATACTACATGCTAAGCCTGTTATCACTAAAAGGATTGTCTGATCAGGTTTCAATTTGCTTAGTTTTGCAAAAGCAGAAGTCAGATCCAATGCTTGACTCCAGTCATAATCTTACTTCAGGTGAACACTGTCTTGTGAGTTTGGAAATTCTGGAGTTGTTTGGCTCAGTAATGAAGATGATAATCCTGAAGTACTGTCGATAGGAGGTGATTCCTTCCCCCAGATCTTCTTTGCTGTTGCCAGCATCAAAAACCCAGAGGTTTTCCTCTTCTGACCAGACTATTTAGAGAAAGAAGAGCAAAAGATGACTCATCAGCAAGGCCAGCCTAACCAGTCTGATCAGACTGTGGATGTGTTATGAGCTCTATTATCAAAGCCTCTGCCTGGCTCCAGATAATTGAGGCCATCTTAAGAGTTAGACTGCATGAAATAAATCAACCTTGAATTTTTAGCTTTTAAAGAAGAGCTTTCTTTTGTCTGTCAGCTTCTGGTACTAGTACCCTTGAATAGTTTTCAAAGTGAGGCAATTAGTGTGCTGTCCTGACTCTTAAAAGGGTGTGTTTTATTTGAGGGGGGAAAAAACCCAAAACAAAAAAAATCCCAACAACCAAAAAACCTGAAACTTTTACATGGAGACACGTGCTATAAGGAAATGTAGTTGAAGAAAGCCTCTTAAGTCTGTTTATCAGGATGCTTAAAGAAAGGAAGTGTTAAAGTGATGCTCATCAAAATGCACAGGCTAGAAGTAAAAGGACTTTATTGTGCCTATGGGGTAGCTTCTCATGAGATGGGGCTTAAGTTGTTTTGTATCTGCTTTCAGCTTAGGGAGTGTATTGTTAACAAAAACAGTGTCTTGGATTCCTTTGAAGTTGATATACAGTAACTTCTTGTATCAATCTTTTATAACCTGACCCTTTTTCCATGTTGCGTTTGGTAACTGAACCTGCTGATTTTAATTGTGACTTCATTTAGATCACCATATACCTTACTAAAACTGTATTGAGCTATTTTGGCAGAATGCTTGCCTAAATGTATATTAATGCTTATTCTGCTTAATAAAATTCATGAAAGTAAACTAGTGGTCTGTTCTGTTTCAATGCAACCTTGCTAATGCATGTTTTAGTTGTGATCCTTAGATGTTTTTTCTTTTTTTAAGCCATCTAGCTTTTGCTTCCAAAACAGTAGCCAAGACTTGGCAAGGAACTTCTTTCTACTAGTATTGTGAGTTACTTCTGGATGTTTCAGAAGTTTTGTTTTGTCTAAGGAGCAGTTGACATGGGACAAGTTACTACATTATAAGCATTTGTGAGCTCAGAAGTAGAGGTTAGTTTGATGCTGTGTGTCCTGCTTGCCAACTAAAGTTTCATTAACTTTTATATGATCCTTGTTCCCACTTTCAGGTCTCTTAACTAGAACTGGGAACAAGGTCAATGCAGAAATTACGGAGTTACTTTTTGGTAAGTGGGATGTACAGTATATACTAATCTTTGCCTGGAAGTGTACAAGAACTCTGGGATAACATTCAGAGTGTTTAATATTGAGCTGTCACCTTCTTAGTGAAATTGGAAAACCAGTTAAAAAAAAAAAGTGTGTATGCAGGGCTTTCTCTTTCTCTCTTTTTTTTTTTTTTTTTTTTAAACTAGCATAAAGTGGATGTAGGGGACATCTAAGCAGACATACTACCTTAAATATTTGCATAATCAGAATATTAGTTTTGGTAGCTTCGGCTACAGCGTGTAATACCAAATAAATAGAGAGAATATATGTGCAAAGCTGTCCTAGAGTGTATTTTCCCCACCCCCTCCCCAGGACCACTTTAAATATGAATATTAGTATTTTTGAAGGGTTAAGCAATAGTCTGGTTTCGGCTCAAAAGTTATGTTCAGGATTCTGTTTAGCTTCTAAGAACAGCTGTTCTTTCTGGTGATGTTTATCTGCAAAGTGGTGCTTTCAGGTACCTGACAAAAACTATGTGCTGTCACTTGTAGGTTTACATGAACTGCCCATTTATCTTTAGTTCACATTGGTTTGTGAATAGGATCAAACTCTGAGGGTTTTTAATCTTTTCATAGAACTTTGGCATGCTTAAGCAACTTTCTGTTCCCTAAGAAATGCCTTGTTTGGTTTTTTTGGTGGTTTTTTTTATCTTCTTTATAAAGGTGAAATTCTCTAGACAATATTTTTGAAAGAAGCTAGTCTTAATATTGAGATAGAAATGTGAGTTGTCATCTTGTATAGCTTCTAGTGCAGTTGCTGCTTTCATGCTTAAGGGGGGTTAGTATGGGATGTTAGTAATGCTTCTGTGAGGTTTCATGAAAACAACTAATGGGGATACAGGCTCCTAATCTCCCATGAAAGGCTGAAGGAACAGTGCAAGCATAATCCTTGTTGGGTATTGGTGGACCCATGTAGATACCTTAAAACACTTTAGTCAGTCCTGCTTCTGGGTGTATGAATATGGCTTCTTTGTTGCGACACTGCTGTCGTCGATCTCCATCAGCGTGGGGGTGCTGTAATCATGATACTACATGAATTTCACATGTACTTCTACAAAATAAAGCTGACATCCGGAGAATGTAGTTTCCTAATATGTTGCATCTTTGAGTTACGTACAGTCTACTTAAGCAGGTATGAGCAAGAGAAATAATAATGAAAAAAGTAACCTCTACAGCCCTTACCCTGCCTCTCTTATTTCTTCTTGCAGTTTTCTGTGGCTGGCAGACCTGTTCTTGAGCTTGGAGTTGTTTTGCCTTTTTGACTCTATAATTAGTGATTTCAAGCTTTAAAGAAAACTTCTCTTAATACTTGAAACTGTTATGGTCCAGCATTTGCAGTACATGCTCTGGTCCTTTGGTGTTTTGAGAGCAGCCTCTTGACTAGTTATCCTGCTGTTTTAGTTGGAAATTAAGGACAGAAGATGATGTTCAAAAGAAAAGAACAGAACTCTTCCTCTGATTTGTCCTGAAATCAAAATTGCTCATTCCAAATTATCTCTGGAAGTTGTAGTCCAAATACCAGATTTCTTTAGTCAATCAGGCTAAGTCAGGTTTTAAACTTCTGAATTCATGTAGACTTACAGCCTTACTTCAGACTTTGGGTTGGTCTCTGACATGCTAATGTAATATAGCTGCAGATAGTAATTTTAAATAGGACAGTTACTAATAATTAGAAATACTAGTCTTAATTTGTTTTGCGCAGTCTCCTAATGCCTCTTCCACAATAATCTCTGTTGCAGGTAGCTGGACATAATTTATTCAGTCTTCTCAATTTGTGTAGTAACTTCACTTGAGTGTTTTTGCTTGCAAACTGAAAAGCATAGTGCTTGCTCTAAGCTATGAAGTCAGCAAACTGTAAGAAACTGTAGGACTTAAAAGCAGAAAGGAATGGCCACAACACTAGCAGAAAAAAGCTCAAAAAGGATTCTGCATGCTGGTGTAGTCCAGATCCTTATGCATACAACAATAAATCCTAGAAATCTGTACTTCCTGCTTGTTCTTGCAGACTTTTCTTTGTTGTTGTTGGTTACTAGCTTTTGTTAATCCATTACTTGTGTGTGCTGTCACAGAATATAGCAGCTGCGAGTAGACTGGTGGTGTTGGGTTGTATAGTTGCTTATACTGATATCTGTTGGTTCACTTTTAGACAAAATCGGCTCCTCCCACTCTAACTACCCAGTTCTATGCATGAGAGCTTATTCACATTAACTTATTCTTCTACTTCATAGGATATACTTTAATCACATGCAGTGTTTCTGAATTAATTATTCAAACAGGAAAGGAATTTCATCTCTTTGCGAAAGGTGTGCTTTGTTACATCTTCAGTTGTTATCATGATGTATGCTGAACTTAAACATTAAATGGGAATTTTTCAGTTTAGTCTTTAATTTCATGTTATGTCGTTATGTGTTCTTAATACCTGACATAAGGAATAGTTTGTTTGGCTAAAGCTAGTGGGAACTACTGAAGCTGAATTCTGTGGGTGGTTTTTTTTTTCTCCTTACTTGGTTCTGCCTTGATAATATCAGGTCAGAGAGGGCTCTGTAACCAGCCGTCAATAAGAGCATACTTGTATCTCACTGCTGAGCTGTATCATACTGGTGGCTTTTTACTTTCTTCAATTTGCTGGAGTCTGACTGTAATTGTTCTACTAACTCATGGCTGGTTGTCTCTAAAGTTAACTTACTTCTACTGAAGTAAGGTATTCCTAACTTCAAACTGTCTTTTTTGCCATCTCTTTGATGTAGGAAGGTTTAGGGGCCTCTGATCTAGGATGGTTCCCAAGGTTGTACCTTTACGCCTCTGAGATGACCAGCTCAGTTTGAAAGGTCATGCTGCAGAATGAATGATGTTTCAGGTCCTTTTGTCTACAGACGGTTTGTTTATAATATCCTAGATCAATGTCCCTATACTACAAAAATTATTAGGTGTTGGTCTTATTACATGAGACTTTTCTATGAGAGGAGCTGTTCATTAAGTAAATCCTGCAGTGCTCCTGTCCATTTCTGTCCCTTTCTCCAGAGGGGCTTCATCTTTAATTTCTTAAGTCCAGGTGGAGAAGGGTTGTGATTATGTTCTTTCTACAGCAAAACATTGGAATGGACTCGCCACAGCTTTGAATTGCTGATTGTTGGGAGGCAGTTGTTCATCTTTGGGAAGGAGCAAAGTGTGTCAGTGTCAAATTGCACTGCGGCTACTTCTGTTCAGAAGTCTCCTGGATCGAGATGGTTGAAGAGAACTGTATTGGGAGAGGAAAAAGGATGTCTCAACTTCTCCCTCTTTGCAATTAACAAGCAGTGCTAGGTTGGATTCCTGAGTTGTAGTCCCCAACTCATTTCACACCCCGTTGTCCTAATGGACAAGCCCAACTTGCTTTTGTTTCATACATATCTGCTTTTGACAAGCTGAATTAGGTTGAATTACAATTTGGTGATATTGACCTAGAAAATACTTTCAAACTGATACTTACCAGTCTTGAAAGGGTGAAACTGCTAGGTTGTAATAATATGTATATTGTACCTCAAAATATTTCTTGGTAGGGCCTGTAAATTATCTGAAGGGAAGTTTTTTTGTTTTTTGTTTTTTCTGCTGGACAGAAGTGGTTTGTGTCTGTGGGAGACACACCGTGTCCCTGTATGTCTCTGCCTTTCCAATAACTTTTACTGACAGTGTGTGGCTTTCTTGGTTAACCCATCCTTACTTTTGCTCCTAGATCCAGTCTAAGGAAAAGATCTGGATAACGACAAGTGCCTTCAATCTGAATCCTTTCCCTGCTCTCTGAAAGAGTTCTATTTAGTACTTTTTCTACTGATTGATTTCTCAGTATTCTAGTTGGACGGATGATATGAAAGTTACATGTGTGTACATATAGACAGAGAGAATTTCATTTGTCAGCATTTCAAAATGCCTTGTAGCTCCTAAGTCTTAACGGCTTGTGTTGGCTGGTGACAGTGGGCTTTACAAGGCAGCAGCTTCTGTGACAGTATATGGGGTGTTCCAGCTCTGACTGAGCCTCCTGTGTCAAATGGGCAGTACATGTCTGAGATACCGGGATATATTTGAGCCCCTGATATTTGAAAAAGGGAAAATTGTTTTGAATCAGCACTCAGTATAGACAGACAAACTTCTGTTTAACTGGTAGGTTAATTTTTTTTTTTCTCTTTTATGTTTCTGTCAGTGACCCTGGTGGAGGGATTGAGATGTCAGAGTTCATACGAGAAGCAACACCCCCTGTTGGCTGTAGTTCACGCAATTCTTATGCTGGGGTAGATCCAAACAGCCAGGTAAGAATTAAAGCCACTGCAGTTGTTGCTTTAGTAATGCTGGCTTTGTAATCTGTAGAGTAATCTTTGCTGATTTTTTTTTTATTATTATTTTACTTTTTTTAATTGTATGAGGATAAAGAACTTACCTTTCTGTATTTCTTAACTGTTTTATTAGAGTGGTATTGCACTCTCCCAGCTGCATAGCTCTTACTCATCCCATCTCATGTTCGTTTTAGAAATGGCTGGATTTTATAGGCAACCTGTTGTCCCCTCAGAAAGTATTCACTTTTGCTCAGTTAGCTTTCTTCTGATTTAGTAAATCAAAATGGTTCAGAGCATGACTGGATAAGTACCACGACCCACTGTGGTGGGCTTACCTCTTCCTTTTGGTATCAGTGAGCTCTTAAATAGCTAAAGCTGTAACTTCGTCCTTATGTTCTAACTTTGTTTTCCTCCCTTACTTTTGGTTGACCTAACATTTAAATGCTTAATTGGCAAACTTCAGTTGTGCTGAATTCGAGGAGGCTTCAGTTAAGTCTTCTTAGAACATATCCAATGCTGATTGTCTCTTGCAATGCTAAATGGCTTTCTGAAAGTTATTATTCCTGACAGTTCAGACTCTGCAGTCAAAAATGTTAATTTGCTAAAGTACAAAGCAAGATAAACTGGTAGAAATGGAAAGACTAAAAATGTGTATTTTTGGATGACCTCTGCAAAATCTTCGCTATTTTGATATTTCAACAGGGGTGGGAAGAAAGGACTATATAGGGGTTGCTGCATACCAGATAGAAGTGCTGAAGAACTTGGCTTTATTACATTTTAATGCAACTCCATTCTGCTCTAGTTGCCTTATAATTTCACTGGCAAAGCTGTTCTGTTTCCGTATTATGTCTGCTAGATTTATGCATTCAAATTCCGTGGTGCTGCATGTGCTGTTCCTTCTACTTGGCTTGTGATGTTTAGCCAGTTGTGGCATCTTCCTTTTACCAACTCCTCACAAGTAGAAGTAGATTTGACTGGCCAGACTGTAAGGTTATGTTGACAATGAGCAATGCAGCATCGTATTAAAGATACAGAAACTATTTTTGAATGAAGTGGAAATTCTTGGTGTGGTATTACAATATCAAGTCCTTCTAATTAGCTCCCTGAACAAGCAGTATATAATGTAGTGCAGTGTTATGCTAATGTTGGTGTTTTATTTGGATAATGCTCTGCTATGCAACAGAGATACTCTTAGAGGTTTTCTCCTTTGAAGAGAGCAGGTATTGGGTAGTATTCAAAGGAACAGGAAGCAATGGTCCATGTAGGAAGATAGAACTAGGCTGGGGATCATGTTTCTTTGACTGGTCCCTGGAAAAAAAGTATTCCAAACATACTCATAACAGTTTTAAAGCATGTGAAGAAACTCTGTGTTCTTTCCTGTGTGTTTTAATACTGACACTGTAACACAGTTAAAGCTACTGTGAAAGGAAATATTGTGTTTAAAATGTGTTTATGCTGATAAAATTAGTGCTCACTAGTCCCCTGTGATTGAATTTGCAGCATCAGAAAGGTATGTGAACAGTAAGCGTCCGAGTTCTGTTCAGTTCTTTGTGTGAAATTTGTTTTGCCATGCTGATGCGTTTGCATTCAACAAGGAATGTTACTGAAGGGGAAAAAAAAAAGTTGAAATACAGCAAAATTACTAACTCAAAGTGTGCATGACACTGTAGTAAAGAAAATGCATTAAACAAGCTCTAGCTGCTTTTTTGCATCACATGTAGCAAAGCCATTGTTGTTCTGTAGTACGGCTGAATAAAATCTTCACATGTCTTCAGATTACCTTAAGTTTGATGTGCTTACAGGGAAGAACTAGTAAAATTATGCGTTCTTTTCCCCAGAGTCATTTGAACTAGGGATTTTTGAAAAACAGCATCCCAATGAGTATACAGTAAAGTCAAATTGCCATCATTTTTGTGTCTTGGGTTCAGATTTTGCCTTTGAGTGCTTTTCTCCTATCTTTTATTTCTGAGTGGTTTAATTACTTGACATGTGCATTTTTGTGTGCTATTCAGAGTTCTTTGAGAGGGGTAGTATTGGAAATAGTATTGAAGGAAAGACTAAGTTCTCCTTAGCACCTCTGCAAAATAATCTGTTACAGGTTACAAGACGTGTATAGAAAGGCAGACTGCAAACCTAAACGGCTGGCTAGTTTTCATGTGAGGAGGTGCATTGCCTGCTGGTTGGCCATTGAACATGGCTGAAAAGCAGATACTATACATTTGAAATGAGATTGTAACTCATATCCAAGGATAGATCAAGGAATTCTGCGCATTCTTTCACTAACCAGTTTACTTGCTTTGTGGTAACTGTAATCTGTGTACTTGCAAGCTGTCTTCAAAAGAAAAATTGCATTTGCAGGAATGAGAGGGAGGAAAAAGGTACAGTAAAATGATTAGGTTAAGTTGATTTGGGTTTGTTCAGCTGCCAGGAGGGATCATCCTGCCATGTCCCTTGGTCATGCTGCTTCCACTTTCCATGTACCAACACTTAGGTTCTTGTCATTACCTGGTCTTTGGATCAACTCTGACAGACCTGAAAACTAAACCTGATAAAAATATGTATCTCTTCCAATGGGAGCAGTTTCTGGATTTAGCTTGGTGTTCCACTATGTTGAACAGATATATTTTATATTAACATGGTGTTTTCTTTAAGCATTGTAGGCAACCGTGATCACTGCCTTAAACATTCAGCCTTACAACAGCAGTTATTAGTATACCACAACACTAGTAGTTTGTTTCTACATTAAATATTTTCAGGGAACTCCTAGAATAGAAACTGTTTTAAAAATCAGTAAAATCTCCAAGTACTTTGGCTATAAAACAATAATGCAGTGATATAGTTGGATGCGTAATGAGATGCCTCGTCATCTCTGTTTGCAGTGGAAACGTTCTGAGTCAGAAAGGATTTTACAGCACTGTGCTGTTGGATGCTTTTGTACCTTTGAAAATATCTCCTAGGTGTATGGGCAAATGCATGCATTGCAGTAATAGGGAACAGCAGTTGGGTAATTCCTGAGTTTACAGCTTTTTACATAATTCCCTGTTTCTAGGTTGGATCTGGGTTATCTCGTCTGGGAACAGCAGCAACCATCAAAGGTGAGATTTTTGGCTACTTCTTAAAATTACCTTCACTAGCACTTCAAATCACTATTCTGTACTATGTTTTTTCAAATGCTCTCTACTTTGTTAATCTTCAAAACTTTTTTGTGAGCAAAGTACAGCATTTACTTAATTGGAAGAAATCTTCCTTGGAGTTGCAAATTATATGCCTAAAACACTAGGAGAGAATATCCTGGAATCTGTGATCTGTTTTCCATGTAACAACAGGTTTTTCTTTTGCTTGTAAATGCGGATCAGGGGGTTGGTTTGAGTGGACTTTTCCCTATTATTTTGAGTTCTGTGCAACCAGTCTGGTGTTGTATTTCAATGACTTGATTATTTCTGGTTGCTTGGCATCTAGCAAAAGTATTGTCCAGGATAGCCCTTGTGAACTCTCCTGAGACAAAAAGACACATTATTTTTAATATGCAAAGTTGCTATCTTGTAAATATATTAAGCCAGTAATAAGACAAAAGAAAATGAGATGTGAATTTTTGTCACCTTGACTTTTTCTTACCTTTTTTGTCTTTACAAGTATTTTGTTGCAGTCTACCCCTCATTTTTATTGGCAACCATACAAAAGGAATATTGAAATAGGTATATCTTTAAGGGAAAAAAAAATATCTATTTCCATTGGGTTGTCTGTAAGATACTTTTCCAGGTCTTTGTGGAAGATCTGTGTAGCTGAATGACACCTTTCTGATAT